AAGACTTATTTTAATTTTTTGTTTCAATTATGTGTATTTTGAAGAACTAAGTAATTAAGTTCAAGTAATTAATTCTATCAAAGAATAATTAATAATTAATTTTTTACAAACAAAACTTAACCAAAATAAAGTAAAAAAATACTTTAGAAAAAATAAGATTTTGATTATAAAATAGGATATGGTAAGTTCAGTAGATCAAATAAAAAAAAAAGATATAATTGAATAATTAAAGAATTTGTAATTAATAAAAGAAATCAGAGAATTAAAAACATAAAAAGATGTGTTTATAAAGTATAAAACAAATTTTAGTTTGAGTTGAATGTCTGTTAGTTTCATTGTATCAAATAATATCTATTAAAGAAATTAAAAAAAATACTAATAAAAATTATAATAGTTTAATAAAATAAAGTTCAGAATATTATTTTCCAGGTCATTTTTCTTATGTATGAGTATTTCAACAGTTACAACAGAAAACAAAAAACAATCCTTAAAAATAAAGAAAAAATTGAATTATTCTAGTAATAAAAAAATAAAAAACCTTTTTTTTTAAAGGTTTAGAGTAAAGAAAGAATGGAGTAGGGTAGTAGTATATTTCTTATTCTATCTTTTTCTTATAAGTTTTTTATTCCCTATACTAACAGAAATGTTCTTATAAGAAAATTAGTTTTACTAATTTGAAGACTAAAAAAGTTCAGTTTTTCAAAGTTTGTCTTTTAACTAAGGTATTTTCATTATATTTATTCTTTTAGAATGGGTGAAAGGAGAACCGTTAAAATAGTTATGGTAGGTGATGGTGCTGTTGGAAAGGTTTGTTATTTCTTCTTCTTATGTTTTTTTTTTTGGATTTAAAATTATTTTAATGAAGAGAAGTGTTTGACCTAAATGATATAATATTATCTTTTTGTTTTACATACTATTAATTTATTGTTATTAATGAATAAATGCTAATCATTAAGACTGCCCTTTGTAGTACATTTGTTAATAACCAATTTCCACAAGATTATATTCCAACAGTTTTTGATAACTTTTCACGTTTAGAAACAGTTGATGGGGAACAAGTAACTATGAGTATTTGGGATACAGCTGGTCAAGAAGAATATGTTTGTTTTGATAAAAATTAATGAACAAAAAGAAAGGAGATTTTTATTATATAGGATCGATTACGACCAATGAGTTATCCTGATACCAATATGCTAATAATTTGTTTTGCAATAGATTCAAAAAGTTCATTTGTAAACATTAGTCAACGTTGGATACCAGAAATCAAACACTTTTGCCCTGACGTACCTTTTATACTTGTTGCAACTAAATCAGACCTTAGACAATCTCAAAGCACAATAGAAAAACTACGAAATGAGGGAAAAGCATTAATAACTGAAGAGGAAATAAAAAGTTATTGTAAAAAATTAAAGGCTGCTGGGTATATAGAATGTTCAGCTCTTGAAAACAAAAATGTTGGAGAGCTTTTCTATGAGGCTGTGAGAAAAACAAAACCAAAATTACATAAAGATAAAAAGAAGAAAGGAGGACTCTTTGGTATCTTTAAAAAAAAGTAAACAATATATCTCCTTGTTATTGAGCCAATTCTTTGTTCATGAGATAATTTTATTTCATATTCCATTTAAGAATTTTTTTTTTGATTTACTTAAAGAAATTTTTGATAAATATTTTCAAAAAGTTAAATTTTAAATGTTATATTTAATATATTAATTTGAATCTTCTGTTTTAATCTTCTTCTTCTGAAGAATTTCTAAGAATACTCTAGAGCACCTATATAATTCTTTTAAGAATATATTTGTTTTGAAGAACTTATTTCGTAAAAGAAAAGGAAATTATACGAAATAAAAGTAAATGAAAGATTTTCTTCTTTATTCTTAATAAATCTTAACTATTCTTTAAAATCAACTTCACTTGAAACTGTTCATATATTTTTAGTCTTTTTAATGAAATGAATCTTCTACGTATGTTTTATAATCTATTTAAAGTTAAGATTGAGTGTTTCTTTTCATTGATTCAAAGTAAGATGACAGCTCAAGATATTACTACTACTCTTCTTCATCCAAAAGGTGATCATGTTTTACATTCACATGCTTATCCAATTTTCCAAACTTCTACATTTTGTTTTGATTCAACACAACAAGGAGCTGATTTATTTATGGGTAAAGGAGAAGGTCATATCTATTCTAGACTTGGAAATCCAACTGTTGAACAATTTGAAGAAATGGTATGTTCTATTGAAGGTGCAGCTGGTTCTGCTGCATTTGGTTCTGGAATGGGAGCTATTTCATCATCAACTCTTGCTTTCTTACAAAAGGGAGACCATTTAATTGCAGGAGATACATTATATGGATGTACTGTTTCATTATTTACACATTGGTTACCAAGATTTGGTATTGAAGTTGATCTTGTTGATACTTCTGATGTAGAAAAAGTAAAAGCTGCTTGGAAACCAAATACTAAAATGGTTTATTTAGAATCACCAGCAAATCCAACATGTAAAGTTTCTGATATTAAAGGTATTGCCGTTATTTGTCATGAACGTGGAGCACGTTTAGTTGTTGATGCAACATTTACATCACCATGTTTCCTTAAACCATTAGAACTTGGAGCAGATGTTGCACTTCATTCAATTAGTAAATATATTAATGGACATGGTGATGTTATTGGTGGTGTTTCATCAGCAAAAACAGAAGAAGATATTGCAACTATTAAATTCTATAGAAAAGATGCAGGATCATTAATGGCACCAATGGATGCTTTCTTATGTGCAAGAGGAATGAAAACTCTTCCAATGAGAATGAAAATTCATATGGAAAATGGACTTAAAGTTGCTAAATTCTTAGAACAACATGAAAAAATAGTTAGAGTTAATCATCCAGGACTTGAATCATTCTCAGGTCATGACATTGCTAAAAAACAAATGACTGGTTATGGTTCAACATTCTCATTTGAAATGAAATCATTTGAAGCTGCTAAAAAGTTAATGGAACATCTTAAAATATGTACTTTAGCAGTTTCACTTGGGTGTGTTGATACTCTCATTGAACACCCTGCTTCAATGACTCATGCAGCTGTTCCTGAAAATATAATGAGAAAACAAGGAATTACTCCTGAATTAGTTAGAATTTCTGTTGGAATTGAAAATGTTGATGATATTATTTCTGATTTAAAACAAGCTTTAGAGCTTTGTTAATTCACTTTCTTTCATTTTAATAAATTGGTTAAATTCAGAAAAAGAATTTTTATATAATAAGGTATTTAATGTATTAGAAATAATTGAAAGAATATTTCAATGAATTAATTCAATAAAAGTATCTCAACAATTAGAATATATTTTAATAAAAAACTATTCTACATATAGCCACAAATTGAAATGATAGACAAATCTATATTTTAGAATACTATAGTTATTTATTTTAACTATTTATTTGATGGTCTTTTAAGCTTAATTTAAATGAAAACGGGAACCAAAATAAGCGAAGAAATTATGAATCTAAATAAAATGCTCAATTGAAAATGGTGTAATATATTTTTTGAATATTAGATTATTCTGTTTTCTATTATTTTCTCTTAAAAAATTAAAATAAAATATAAAATAAAAAGTAGGTAAAATAATAAATCTATAACATTCAGTTGACACTTTGTAACTTCTTGTTGTTTTGAGTATGATGTATATTGATTTGTTGAGTATATTTATTCATAATTCTGTTCATTTTATGTTATTCTTTATTTCATTTACCATCAATTCTATTTTAATGTGAAAATATCATTATGAAATGTAATAAAGAAGAACATTATGTTAATTCAAATTTATAATGTTAGTTATGAATAACAATGATTATATAAATATGAATATCAATCGTATTGTTATTAATGTGTAAATATGTTACATTTCATTTATCATACTGATGAAATGTCATAATGATATGTTAATAGATGTTATTATTTATTTATTTAAATGATATATTTATTGATATGAAAATTAAATTATATCACAGATGATTATCAATGATGAATGATGATAAAGTACAATTTAAATTATTTATATTATTGTATCAAACAAGAGTTAAATGATGAAACAAATAAAAAGATAATAAATAAGAAGTATCAATGAAATGATGATATGATAATAACAAAATGAATAATTTAAACATCAACACAATAATACAGAATGAAGAGTGACTATTTAATATGTATTATAAATTAAACAATTATAAATAATAATAATGAATTTAATGTTCATCTTCAACTTTCATTCATGATAATAACTCATTAATTTTATCATTAATCATTATATTTATTTTCTTATTATTTTCTTTATTCTTTCTTTTATCATTTATCATTTTATATTTATTTTATTTGAATTTCATCAACAAATATATTCATTTAATACAGAGAACGAATTAGAAAGATATAACTAATAATATACAAATATGTTATTCTCATATTTAATCACAAATATTTTCATCTAATTGTATTTTCTACTATTTTTTACCTTTTAATCATTT